TGATATCAGTTGCTGGACACTATGAGGAAAGAGGGTGACAGTGGGGCAAACAACTTAAAATCATGCTCTTTGGCCATTAAGCGACCTACAGCAGTAAGTGAGGCAGGGTGAGCACAGGCAGTAGCCCCATGCTAGGCCTTCCCTCTGTTTCCGCTATTCTCCACACTTGCTAAACCTTTCCTAGGTTTCTTTTCACTTCTAGAAGTCTCTGTACATCTCAGGTATTTTTCAGTTTCTACTTCTTCCATCTGGGTCTCCTCCCTGAGTTCTCCAACCATCAGTGACCTTTCCCTACTCTGAACTCATGTGGCTCTTTGCTCCACAGACCCAGGGTCGCTTAATGGTTTGGGCACAGATTGCTTGGGCTCATATTTAGATATTTCTCCTCTCTGTGTATGTGATCTTGGACAGATTGTCTAATTTTTTTTAATGCCTCAGTGTTTCCCTCTCTTAAAGGGGATGTATCCATAAGAATTCTGTTGCAGGGAACAGAATCTACTCTTGCGAATATAAACAGAAAGCCATAAATTACAGGGTATTAAAAAACACAGAGAATATTTGAATTGCCACAGGAAAAAAACTCGTAAAGTGAGCTCTCTGAAGAGTCCCATGGTGCTTGGCAGAGATAGACCACCATGGGGACTCCTGCCTCTTCTCCACTCATAAAGTTACCTGCTGATTGCCAGGGTCAAAAAGAAGTTCAAGGGCTGCAACAGCCATACCCATCTTCTCCAATCTAAGTAATAAAATGCACATCTCATTCTGGTTTCTTGATACCCACAAAGTGTGGATATAGACAAACCACATTGCTCTACAGATTTTCACATGCAGAGAGCAAAGTGTGGACTCTGCATCGCTTCCTCTTTCCAAACAGTGCTTCAGAGGAGCCAAATCTAAATCCCATCCAGTACCTTAGCTGCAAGGGAGTCTGAAAATGTAGTATTGGGGTTTCTGGCCTCTGCATGTCAGGGAGGCCCTGGTTGAGATGAATGTTGACTGCTAATCCACCATAAATAACACCTACATACAGATAATAGGTTTACCTACTCTATAGAATTGATGAAGGTTTACATGAAGTGATAAATATAAAGTACTTACAACAGTGCCTGACACATGGAAACTCTCAATAAATAGAGCTCTTTTTTGGCCAGCTCCTAAGATAGTGATCTAGGGAAAGCCAAGCAGCCTTTGTTAGATTCCCAAAAGTCCCACCTGTTAGTAAGTAACTTTAATGAAACTACTATCTAAGGAACACCTGTTCCCTGGTCAGAAAATTGAGGCAAAGAGTTACTGCACATATCACGTTTAATCGTGTGCAAAAGACAGTTTGAGAATTATAATGAGTGCTCTGGTGGCTTTGCTGTTAAGAGACAAAGGGGAATGAAGGGAAGGAGGGGATGGGAATAGGAAAGGGCAGAATGAGTCAGACATAACTTTCCTATGTTCATATATGAATATACAATCAGTATAATTTCATATCATGTACAACCACAAGAAGTTATCCGCCATGTGTGTATAATATGTCAAAATATACTCTACTGTCACATATATCTAAAAAGAAGAAAAAGAAAAGAAATAAAAAGAGAAGATCCTGGTGAACTGGAATGTTACAGTTGTGTTCAAATTCCAATTCTGCCCCTAAGAACAGCAGTCTTCTTCCTGTGCTTTTTCTCATTCACTCTTCCATCATTTCTCTCCATTTGAATTTCAAAATTAGCCAGAGACAGCACAGAATTTCACCAGGTCCCCGTGAAGAAAGCAAGGCTCACCTACTGCCATTGCCACCTCCCTATAGAGGTAGGCCCTCCCCAGCTCTCCAGAGCTCCTGAGCTCTTTCCAGGAGACTCTCTGTCCCCTTTACACCAGTTCCTATAACTGAAGGGCCAAAGAGGCTCAACCTCAAGGAAGAGACAGGTGGCTTTGGAGCAAAACTTGTAAGGCATTCTCCCCAGGGAGAGAAATTCCGAAAGTTGAGCTCACTCTTTCCTGCCATAAAGCACACTGAATGTTAACAGCTTGCTGCTGTCCAAGCTGGTGTTTTTTAAATTAAGTATTGTTAAATCCATACCATTTGGAATGATGCTTCAGACAGCCCTGACACTAGCTCTTGCTGCTGCTTTCATTTCACCTAATATATTGTGCGTGGAGCCGGGAACCAGGATTATGGCTGCAAGCAGCTTCTGCTGCTGCTGCGGCTGCTGCTCCACAGACACTTGCAGACGGCTTTAATTTAGATACCTGAAGAGGAAAAAAGGAATCGGGCCAACGCCCTGCTCACATGCCATAAGGGGCCTTTCCCAGGTGGCTGTTAGTATGGGTCTAGATTACCTAGGGTTTTATGTTATTTTTCCCTTGGCACTGAAAAATGTCTCAGAAATGACAAACTTGGGAGACAGAGACGCTGTAGGCTAAAATAAGCTACTTTCCATCATCAGGTAATATATACTCACGGTAAAGCCTGGTAGGCTGCCTTCTACTCCTCTGCCTATGCTGTTACCAGCCCCTTCCAACACACCTCCCTTTGGCCAGACAGCCAACACCTGAATCTGCATGTATGTACAAATATATAGATGTATATATGTGAATATGAGATCAGAGTGGTTGGAGTCAGAAGACCCTGGTACAAAGTCCAGTTTTAGCCAGTGAGGCCTTAGGTAAGTCTCTTCGCTGAGCCTCAGTTTCACATATATAAAAAGGCACTGGCACATAACCAACTGCATCAACTAGTCAAAAATGTCAAGCGAGATTGTACATGTAAAAATTATAAACCTTAACAATATCACATATACTTTGGAAAGTATCAAAATGAGCTCATCTTAAAAACATTCCCCATCACCCTTATCCAACTTGATTTGTTTCTCCTTTTTCTAGAGTTTTAAGTAAACTTAGAATTTTCCCGCACTGTGTTAACTCTGGACCTTTGCAATTGCTTTTGCAAGTTCCTCCAGATTCTCCCAACAGAAAAGATGATGTGGTAAGCAGAGAGACCAGAAGCATGTACTGGGGTCGGCCTCCTCTAGGTGTTCAACCAATGATGGAGGCCTTGACTTTAAAATAGTATATTATTTGAGGACTTCATTGAAGGGACCCAGAAAAACTCAGAAGATGGTATTGATTTCCAAAGCAGAAGAATTTGGCATATATGTGACTACCAGTTATTTTCCGACCATGCCAATTTTTTCCCCTCTACGAAAGCTGCCTTATCATTAGCATGCTAATGCTACAATTCCTTCTCTTACATCTGACGCAAATGAACAGATAACATAGTCTCAGACTAAAAGTTCATTTCGGGTCAAAATTTTTTTTTACTATGATGAGGATTTCAGATAGCAATCCAGTATTTATTCATCTACTTGTCGATACCCTTTAGCTTGTGAGAATTAGCTAGTTTTCGAGAGATTAGTAAAAATAATCTTTCTGAAAGGGAAAAGCCTATTTCAAAAATAGGACCTCTTTGTGTGTGTGTGTGTGAATCTGTACTATCATTTTCCTAGTTCAATAAATTTGGTAGTGAGGAGAAAGGTGAATCCTTGATTGCCCTTGACTTTTGTGACAGGTTAACAGTGGGAGTTTTAAAGCTTCTCCCTTGTTAATTGATATACCATATGAAGTAAGTAGCTGAAGTTGAACAACCTGCTTTTCTCTACCTTTTCGCAAAGCAACACTGCAGGTATGTGTATTGGCAGACCTGCCTGTATTCACATGTCTGTGATGGCTAGATCAGGTTTTCCATATTTGTGTTTCAGACCTCTCATCAGTATTTTTTAATAATGAAAGGAAAGAACATTAACTGCCTTCTACCTCCACCACATGTATTTCTGGTCTATCAGATCTGTAAAGAAAAGCCTCCTGGTAGTACATGATGAAAATGTATGGCTGGGTTTGCTATTTCATTCTCTCAAAACTCAATAATTTCCCTAGCAGATAAGGGGAAGTATGTCCTTATTTGACACTTAACACTTTCCTAAAACTAATAATCTCCTCCAGTAGGGTTGAACCTTGCTTGTTGGTAGATTAAGTGGCCTCTGAAGATTGCTGAGCTTCTCTTTGCTGCCTTGTCTCTTTGACGCACATAAGTACTTCCTCCAGGGCTCGGCTGCACCTCCGAGGTCAACCTGTCCAGCCCTCTGGCCCTCCTGGACTAGTGGTCAACAAAGGTTTCTCCTTTTCTGCACTATAGCAGCTCCGAAAAAAGGATGTGAGTCAGGTGAAGAGAAGACTGTAACTCTTGGTTAAAAGGTTTGGGGATTAATTGAGGATTTAATTCATCTTTTCTTTCCCTGCCCCTGGAAAGCAGATAGTTGAGAGTTGGCAAGGTGTCAAAACCAGGCAGTTTCTCAACCCCAAATTTCAGCCCCACTCAGTCTGGAGTCTTTGTTCAAGGCTTCTTTTAAACCAGGGGTTCTCAATTTCTAATTGTGCCTTTAGAATCAGTAAACCTTGGATGTTTCAAATTGTCACTTTACAAAGAAGCAACTTGTCCCGTCTCCCCACCATCAAGTCCTTAATACACGAAATAACTTATGCCACTGTTAGGGTTAGTGAGGAATTTTCATGAACTTCTACAGTATTCCTTTTTCTAGTCAAAGGGAAAAATAAAGAGGAACCTTACGAAGAAGAAGAAAGCAGTTGTCCAGAATACGTTTAAAGGGCACATTAAGTCAGTTTTTGACTATGGTTCTCTCCCTTTTATGGCATATGTTATATATTGACAGGGATTAAGTTTCTCTCCTGAATGGAACAATACACGGACACAGGGAGCTACTGTACTTTACAAAGCAGCAGACATCAGCACAGGCAAATGGCAAACAGAAACACATCTCACAGAGAACTGACCAGGTTAGGGAAAAGCCCAGTGCTTTGCTTCGTCTTGTGTACTTCTGCACCTCTGGCATTTCTCTTCTTGCTCTGCTGCTCTCTCTCCTTTCTTTTTCGTCCTTTTCCCCCTTTTTTACTCACACTGTTACACTTTCTCTGTCCCCCTGGCTTTGTTATTCAGCATGTCTGATTAGCAGGAGCCTGATTGGCTGGCTGCCTGCTCCGAGAGAGATTCCATTCAGCTTACCCCCCACCCATCCACCCACCCACCCCTCGGTCAGGAAATGTGAGCGGGGCTGATGGAAGCTGATAGGCAGGGCTGGAGTGTTAGCACCAGGACTGGATGTGACAGCAGGCAGAAGAGCACTTAGCAGCTTATTCAGTGTCCGATTCAGATTCCGGCAAGGATCCAAGCATGGAATGCTGCCGTCGGGCAACTCCTGGCATACCGCTCCTCCTTCTGGCTTTCCTGCTCCTGGTAAATGCCTTTTCATTTCAATATGTTGCTATAGCCATTTAGTCTGGGTGCTGTTGGGGTGGTGTGTGTGTGTGTGTGTGTGTGTGTGTGTTCATCTTAAAACTCCAGGTAAAATAATTTACATGATAGAAAAAGTACCCCAACTCCTTCCAAAACTTTAATTCCAACTTCCCAAGCTGAATAAAGTCTACAAAACTCACAGGAATTAGTTACAGGTATATCATAATATTGTTACTGAGACACAAACTTTGGGATATACTGCATAGAATCTGTGAGCTGAGGACTATATAAATGTTTGGAATTTGGATAATAGATGTCCTGAAATCAAACTCACTCACTGTGCTGTTCCTGGAATTTTTTGAAGGATAGGCTGTGAGGGGCTTCCCTCCAGTGCCTTCTACGGATTATTTTTCCTCTGTACACATGTACTAGGGAACCAGGTGAAAGAGGGAATGAGAGCCCTCTGTGCAGCCAACCCAGATTAGAGCTCTTAATTACTGCACATTATTTGTGGATAAAAGTTAGTTCAAGTATCTATGAACTGAGGATTATAGCCTTTGATCTCAGATCTTCTTTTGAAGAAGAAAAAAAATGATGACTTTCTGTACGGTTAATTTCTACAGTCAATAGTGATAAGATGCTCTGTTCTTGAACATCAGCACATACTACATTTTTGACTCAAAGTAAATGTTCCGTTGTGACTCATACTTGGTTTTATGGGCAGAAAATGAACATTTACTGTCCAAAAACAATCTACACTCAAAATATTAATAGCAATGCACATTTTTTTTAAACCAGAGTGTTCTGGGCAGGCAGTTTAGTAAACCTCATCTGAAGGTTGGATTCCAAAATTTGCACACACTGATTCCAAACAAACGTGATTGTAGCTCTCCTTGTCACATTTATGATATGCCAGAACTTCCTCAGATGGTAACAAGGCAAGAAGGGAACAAGGTAAAAATGCAACCAGAATATAGGTTGTATTGCTTCATTGATGGGGAAGGAATATTTTGTTCTGCTTTGAGTCTGACAAATTTGATCTGCACTATAATTTTGAGGAAAGGAAGCAAGCCATTTGGTAAATTGAAAAGGTCTAGGAAGATTCATCAGATAGAGTAGACAGACAGTGTTTAAATATTTTATGCATTCCTGTATCTTAATAATTTGCATCATTATAGCTAAAAATTATAATGCTGCCTTGTGAATCGGAATATATTTTCAGTTTTTTGTAGAAACTTAAAGGCAAGTGAAAGTTTAAGCATGAGTAGACTATAAGTTTTAGCAGTACTGAAGAATATAAAGAGCAGAATGTTTAGGTGTGCTTTATGTCTTGTAAAGCAAGCAATTTATAAAAGGTGTCTCATTTTTTCCATATGGGATGTGTTACTTATATACATCATTAGTTTGTCTCGTCTTTCCTTCTTTGTGATTTTTTTAAAGTGTGTGTTATTTCCCCAGTAAATTGCATCATAAAGCAAATTACCAGTACACATTACTTTTTTTTGATATTTTCATATGGAAGTATGATCTCATTATACTTGAGTAATACTAGCCTACACAGGAATAGATTGTTTTTCTACCCATTTGGTAAATGCATTATATTCCTCTTTGATATCTTAAATTCATATATGTATTTGAGCATATAATTAGACTTACTTGGAAAAAAGGAGTGTTTGCTTATTTCAGAAGGACTTAACACATGTTTGGATTACAATAATTACATTATGAAGTTGAAATGAAATCAAACCCAGGTTTGTTTTAGGCCTGTGTTTAAATGAATTGAGAATCTAAAAGTTATGCCAGGAAAAAAAAAAAAAACAAGAAGTAGTTGTTGAGTGCCTAGATACATCCTATGCAGAGCAAGAACAGCATTAATAAGAGCTGTCATGTGTTGTGTCTAAAGGTGGCAAACACTAGACTTGTTGTTTGAAAAACATTTCAGTGAACCCTCACAATAATCATGTAAAGAGAGTACTTTCAAACCCATCCTACAGATAAGGCAACCAGCTTATATTTGAACCCAAAGGTCAAAGAATGGGGAGAACATAAATTGTTTGCTTTGCACTATGGTCGTAAAAATGTCTGGCAATGATGGAAGCAATGATGAGGCTTGGTCTGCACTCTTTGTTGGAGACAGGCAGTCTTTTTGCATCATCTTGGCTGTTAAAGAGATGTACAGTGTGGTGGATACTTGTTATACTTGCTCATTAACTGCCTCTGTTAGGTTTACAGCCAAAATTAATTATTGGCTTAAGAGAAAGTGAACTTTAGCCTGACCTGTAGTTGACTTAGAACTAGAAGTGTGACTTTGTCAGCTCAACCTTCGGACTTGATAAAGATACTGAATCGGAGGACCTGTTTTTCCTATGATTCTTTTACATAACAGAAGAGTCTGTCTACTCTTAAATTAATTTAAGCAATTTCTAAATGTCTTTTTAACTTAATTGGAAAACATCTCTCTGTATAATGGCAGGTCCAATTGTTACCACATCAAAATAGCCTTCATTTCATTGACAGTTAAATCATATGTCTCATGACTCAGTTCCTCAGCGTGTACACATTAATAGTATTGAGCCTCGGTTTTGACAAAATCCTTTCCTCCCAGCACACTATTCCCTAGAGAATTAGGTCCCAATGCCTTTCGTGTCTATTTTAGATCACCATCGTACTTTCATGCGCAGTGTGCCGGCTGGAGACTTCTTTTTAACTCTGGACACAGTTGGACACTAGTATCAAACAAGAGATTTTATTTTGATATTCAGGTCAAATTAAGCCACATAATATGACTTTCCCAATCTTCTCCACCCTGTTCCCCCTTTTCATTCTCTCTCCTTTGTCTCAATTGTTTAGCTCAAAAGAAATGTGGCAAAAACCATGACCGGCCATTGACATATGTGTCCATCTACACTTGAAGTCAAATCACTTCTTGTCAGAAAGGCATTTAATCAAATTTGCATTTGCTTTTTGTTTCTTTTCAGTGGTTTTTTAAGCTCTTTTGCCTGCTATTGTGAGAGTTGCAAGAGTAACACTAGGAATTATAATAAAGTACATGTGTTTTGCTGTTGAATTTCTTTTTCTTCTCTGTACTAATTTATACATGGAAACTAGTCAAACACAATAGCCCGTTCCCTTCAATTCCTCTGGCACTGTCTTCCACTATTATCTAAGTGAATCTATCTTGGATGGCGAGAAGCTCCATTAGCTTGTGGAATGAATGTTAAATCCCTTATTTACAGCAGATTGTGGCCTGTTCCAACAATGAGAGAGTGTGTGTGTGCGCACGCCTGTGTGCACTAGCACCTCTCTATAACTGTTCATTTCTTATTCTCCACCTATGCTGTCTTTAAATCAAACTTAAAGAATTTCTTGTCCATCTGTGGAGCACAGCAGCATTTATTTAAAAGTGATTTTCTTGATGTTTTCGTGAAGTTTCTTGTCATTTATCGTCATGGTTATTTTCTTGGGCTACTGTTTTTAGTTTCAGTCTGCTCAGGACCACTTCCTGGCTCCCTTACTATTTTCATGTGAACCAGTTCTGTCCCTTCATATAAGATGAGGGAAGAATGTCCAATAGTGGTCACTAGTGAACCACAGAAGAGGCCTGTTACACTGGGGAAGTTTTCCTTGTATGATTCTATGGACAGTGAAGACTTTTAAGAGAGAGAATGAATAAAGGAATGCATATGTTTGTGCTTTTATAAGATTCTTAGTCCATGTTCATGCCCCAAGTGGAATTAGGGAAGAAGGAAGGGATGCCCTTACACACCCTGGGGTAGGCTCTTGCTCTAATTAGGAGTGACACAAAGTTCATTCTTACAGCTTAATATCAAAATTAAAGTCAGAGTTTGTGGAATTTTTTTTTTTTATCAGTGAAGTGTACAAGCTACTCCTTTGTAAAACTCCGTTTATTTTAGCAAGTTTTTGCAGAAGAATTATATCAGATGCGACCTGGCCGGGTATTTGGGTCTTCTTCTTTTTGTGACTTTATCAAAATATAATTTCAAACTCTGACAGGAAAATATAGTGTCTTGTGAATTTCTGCATTTCCTGTGGCACCTAGTAGAATGCCTTTATATTCAGGCAGCAGAAACACTTGTGAACATTTTGAAGAAAGGAAAGGTCTTATAGGGAGAGCACATGGTGCCCTCACTCTTCACATTTTTCCATGTTTTCAGACTTCATTTGTTTAGACCACTTTCCTCAGTCAAATGACAGTTCTGCTTTTAATTTGTGTGTCTTTCAAGTTCCAGGAACATCACTTTCTCGGGTTCAATTATCTAAGTTTCATCCTTCCCTTCCTCTACTGTTTCTGTGGTCTCATGAGTAGGGTGACCTAGGAGTGACCTCTTCTAGTGTGGGGACTCAAGTCTTTTCTGGAGTGAGAGCATTACTTGAATTCTCATGAATAACCTACTGGTTCACTGTGCTGAGATAATCACAGGAAAATGTTTCTAAATCGAGTTTTATAGTCTTGCCCTTGTTACTAATTTTCTTCTTCTAGAGGGCTGGCTTCAAACCGTGTTTTCACCAGAATGAGACAAATTCATGTCATTTTCTGTCTACATCATAAAAATCATACCATGTGGTTGAATTTTGGCTTGATTGGCAGTACTGGCTCATGAGCGGCTTAGGACTGGCATACCAAAGGTGATGTAAGTCCTAAAGGATCCTAATTGAATAGGCCAGCACAGCTGTGCGGGGAGCCTGCCTGCTAACTGGGGTGAGCTGTTGCTATCAACCCCTTCTTTCCATGAGCTCAAATATAAATGACTAAATCTCCCCCAATTCCCGAACTTCAAGATTAAAACCTACAAAGAATAAAGCCTAACTGTTCTGCTTTGCTGGGGCACCCAGCGTGGAAGGCAGTTAGTAAAAAGTTTTCTGACCATGAAGAAGATAACCCTGATAGATATACTCTTAGCCTGTAGCCAACAGTGGCCTCTGGCTTTTCACGTGTTTGACTTCCAAGAAGCTCAGAATTTATAAATCAACTCTTTTCC